AACTACTCGCCTACGGCTCGTAGTTTTGATAACAATGTCATTCACGAAATTACTAGGCAACAAGCTGTCGTAACAATCACCGAATATTTCCGGCAAAATATTATCACTTGTGGTATTATATATGACAATATAGAAATCTCGCATGCGATAAAATATCTCACCGTTTGAGAATTGGACCCCAGTAGTCTTTGACCGAACAGCGCCAAAGTGAGGCCCCCCTGACTAAAGCAGACCCCGCTTTAATACCCCTACAATGTAGTTTAGCTCGCTGCCCTTAATAAATACTGACTATCTGACATCATCTTCGAATCAGTTTCCCCGATACCCAAATCACCCTGGGAGTCAACAAAACTCCCATTACTGAAGGATTTTGCAGCAGTATGTTGGCTGACGTTTTCATCTCATTTCCTTCAGGTTATGTTGAAGTCCGTGCCTGACTTTTACTAATCTTCCATATACAATTAGAGAGTAGAGTGCCATTCATTGTGTCCGACTCATGAGTTGTTTTTTCTTGTTGGGCAGCCTTTAAGATTGGATTTTGAACTCTTTTCAAGTGTGACGTAGCTATTCAAATAATACAAGAAAACATACCATTTCGAAATAATCGCTGTCAAAATACTTATCCACACTCAGAACCAAATTACACCAAGTCATCAAGTTCAATATGCACCATACCATCATCACAATCCATTTTTTTCAAAAGCTACTTGATTCACGAGAAAACATATCCTGCCAAAACAAAAATAAAAAGCATTCATGATCCCAAAATTCGACGTCTTCCTACTCCATTCGTTTTCGTAGTTCAAACCGTTCATATGGAAGTTTTTGAACTGAATTGAACCGTATTACTTTGTAACGTCATAACTTACACAAGAAAATGCCTGATTTCTTATTGTTTTTGTGATGTATTCGAGTAGGTTGGGGGGTGAATGACGGTTGTTATGTAGAGAGGCAGATTACATTTTGTTATCAATATGACCATCATTTATTGAATAAATACTACTGAATCCATCGAATAGCAGAAACTCAGTTTTGAACAAGGTTCAACAAAAATCAACTATGGTAACGTTTCGTCCAGGTAATGCTGATGGTCGTGCCCGGAATCGACGAAATCTACAACCGTCGTTGCGCTTTGGCCGAAGACAAAGACAAGACAGAGCGCTGCAAGAACGAGACGGAGCCCGTCGATCAAGACATTTACTAATCTTCCAAATACAATTAGAGAGTAGAGTGCCATTAATTGTGTCCGACTCATGAGTTGTTTTTTCTTGTTGTACAGCGTTTAAGATTGATTGATTGAAGGTTCAACAAAAAATTCAACCATTAGCTCAGTAAAACGGTAACGACTAGGACCCAATCTGGGAAAAAATTCAAGTATCCGGTTTCTCTGTGGTTATATGTTATTGGATGTGCTGAATTCGAATCTGAATTTTGCAAACAAAATTTCCTGGAGCGTTCCGAGATATTAGCAAAAAACAGCGAAATTTTCGCACTTTTTTCGGCTTTTTGCCCGTAACTCGGAAATCATTCATTATATCGAAAAGACCGCCCTATAAAAAGTTGAAGTAGATAAAATTTCCTAGATATAATTGTTCCTGCTCATGAATGCAGGACTGAAGGGTGCGGAGATAGAGCCAGTTGAAAATTGATCAAATTTGGGTACTTAGCGTTCCTCGTCGGTTTTCCCAGATAATTCATATTTTACGTATTACTCAGAGACATTGCATCATGCACATATTGGAAGAGCATCGAATTTCCTATCGAGCTCATGTGAATTTCTTTTTTATGAAAAAAGATGAACGGCTGTTACAGCGCTCGGACTTGGAGACGTCTTTTAGTCGTAGTTGCCACACTCATGTTCATTCTTTCAACTTATATGATTTTGATCACATGAACCTATATTTATTAAAGCTCTAAAACGTATGAATAGGTCATTGTTTTGATTTTGTATTCTGTGGGGTGGGAGACAGAAAAAATTGAAATTCTGTATGCTGGAATTATAGTTGTTATAATTGCGATACAATAATTCCAAAAGCTATAGGTTATTCTTTGAACATTTTGATGAAAAACTGATAAACAATTCAAACTATCAAAATTACCTATTTTGTGATGAATACGTATTAGAATCAATTCTCGCTCATGTGGGTTCCAAGGGCGTCAAGGGAATGAGGCAGCTGATCGCCTAGCAAAAAAGTGCAGAGCTCACATTTTACCAATCTGTGAGACAAGCAAGTGCCACCTTATCACAGAGCTCAGAAAATGAGAATAAAGTTTGAAATCCTACTACTATTGAGCAACTCCAGGTAAACGAGAAGGAAAGAGTTCTTCAACAATTCGTAAGCTAGTGAGTTTCAGCAAACAAGAGCTAAAGCACTACAGTGACAAGTCGAGAGTCATGAGCTACATGCTGAAAGAGGTAAGAATTCACATGGCTAGGACTCTTCCACTTCAGTCTCCTCAAATCCTCTGTATCAAAAAGGGCATAATATTACACTACTGGGTTTAAAAATTGATGATAGATTTGAATTTCAATCTATACAATGTTCTTCATGAATCTGTTAAACTACTGGAACCACAAAAATTCAAAACAACAATCAAAAGATTTCTTCTTGATAATTGTTTCTACAGTATATCCGAATACCTCCAAAAATCGAAATCTCTTAGAGCTTAGACTTACATAGGGCAACATAGCTTTTATGTTTGCCATTGTTTTTATAACTTTTTAATTGATCTTATTATTTATCTATTTATTTATGTGATTTTTTTCAAATTATTTTATTGATACTTGTCATTTTTTATCATATCATATACGCTTGTCATGTAATTCTTTGATATATTACAGATACTAATTATTTTTATCACATTTTCAAAATTACCACTATATTGTATTTTAATATGTTAGTATTGATACTTCACTGTACTACTTTTCCCTTGCCCTGCTGACCTGCTATAAACATACTTGTATGTAACATAGTTAAATAAACTCTATCTATCTATCTATCTATACAGGGTGTCCCTGAAAGGTGCGGAAAAAAAGCTACCACAAGTTCCTGAGGCGTAAATATGACGATCTAACTCAACTTACCTCAGTCCAAAAGTGCATGATTTCAGAGATACTGAGTGTCAAAAGTTCAATTTGATTTTCATTTTCTATAAATATTTTTTTTAATTATTGGTGTATTGTCACAATATTCGGCTTGAGGGGGTTTTGCTGGTTGAGAAATCAGAATTTGCTATCATTTTTATTGTGAAGTCAAGGGGGCGCCACCTGCGGAACCTTGCACACATTTAAAACGAAATAACTTTTTTGAGCCACCCCATATTTAATTTTTAAATGAAAATTCGGATTGTCCAACGTCTTTTACATAAAAAATGTATACTTGGTAAGAGTTGATTTGAGCAGCTGTTTTTGAGATATCTGGATTTTAAAAATTCACTTCGTTAATGGCCAGGTCTAAATTATTGTAATAATAAAATTGAACACATTTGAAGCGTAGGCGGTAAATTAAAATAACGTCACTAGAAACTTAAAAAAAAAAAAAGTAGGTACATAAATGTGTTGGTAATTTTATTCTCTAGTGAAAATAGTCATTAGGAATAGGAATAGGAGATTTATCAACAACAAAAGTTTAATTTAATTTAATTTAAAAAAATGATTTTAACAAAAAATGTTCAAAATGACCTCCATTTTTGTGTGTACAAAGAATAATACTTTTCAAAAAGTTGAATTGAACACTTTGGAGCATTCCGTCATCATTTCTTAAAGCGTCAATTTCAGTTTCAATACGTCTCCTTAAATCATCTTCTGTATTTACTGGCCTAGAATACACCAGGGGTTTCAAAGCTCCCCATAAAAAATAATCCATCGGTGTCAAATCAGGGGACAATTGTCCTGACTTGTTTTTTTGATTCGATTTGACCCAAGTCAGTTTTAAGTGACGTTATTTTAATTCACCGCCTACTCTTCAAATGTGTTCAATTTTATTATTACAATAATTTATACCTGGCCATTTACGAAGTGAATTTTTAAAATCCAGATATCTCATAAACAGCTGCTCATATCAACTCTTACCAAGTATACATTTTTTATGTAAAAGACGTTGGACAATCCGAATTTTCATTTAAAAATTAAATATGGGGTGGCTCAAAAAAGTTATTTCGTTTTAAATGTGTGCAAGGCTCCGCAGGTGGCGCCCCCTTGACTTCACAATAAAAATGATAGCAAATTCTAATTTCTCAACCAGGAAAACCCCCTCAAGCCGAATATTGTGACAATACACCAATTATTAAAAAAAATATTTATAGAAAATGAAAATCAAATTGAACTTTTGACACTCAGTATCTCTGAAATAATCCACTTTTGGACTGAGGTAAGTTGGGTTAGATCGTCATATTTACGCCTCAGGAACTTGTGGTAGCTTTTTTTCCGCACCTTTTAGGGACACCCTGTAGATCGGTTCTTCGAGGAATGCGTAAATTTGGAATTATCTGCGAAAACCGACCAAAATGCTATTTTTTGAAAAGTACCCAAATTTGGTCAATTTTCAACTGACTTCATCTCCGCACCCTTCAGTCCTACATTCATGAACAAGAACAATTATATTTAGGAAGTGTTATCTACTTCAACTTTTTATGGGGCGGTCTTTTCAATATAACGTATAATTTTCGAGTTACGGGCAAAAAACCGAAAAATGTCCGAAAATTTTACTGTTTTTTGCGAATATCTCGGAACGGTCCAAGGAAATTTCGTTTGCAAAATTCAGATTCGAATTCAGCACCTCCAAAAACCCATGAAACCACAAAGAAGCCGACTACTTGAATTTTTCCAAGTGAAAATACCATTTGATTGGACTCAGACATTTACTAATCTTCCAAATACAATTAGAGAGTAAAGTGCCATTAATTGTGTCCGACACATGAGTTGTTTTTTCTTGTTGTACAGCGTCTATGATTGATTGAAGGTTCAACAAAAAATTGAACTATGGTCTCGTTTCTTCCAGGTAATGCTGATGTCCGTGCCCGGAATCGACGAAATCTACACGCGCTGTTGCGCTTTGGCCGAGGACAAAGACAGCTCCGAGAAGGACTACGTGCACCCGAGCCGTACCGTCAACTTCCTGGTCGGTCTGCGCGGCAAGAACGAAACGATGGCGATCGGCGGGCCGTGGAGCCCGTCGCTGGACGGGGAGGATCCCGCCGCTGACCCGTCGGTGCTGATCCGGACGGCCATCAGGACGTGCAAGGGACTAACCGGGATCGATCTCAGCAATTGTACGCAGTGGTGAGTAGGATTGATTTTGACGTCTACTGTTACTTATTGTTTTCGATTGTGGGTGTAGGGTGTCCGCTAAAAGGAGATCAATCCATTAACCATATATTCCTTGAACAAAAACAATATGAGTTTCTGATTACCATTTTTCATTATCGCCCTTTATATTCGATATACAGGGTGTCAAAGTTGGAAATTAAAAACTGTTTTTTTTATTACTCGCGTATTTAATGAGACATTGATCTCAAAATTGGTACATAGCACAAAGAGTTACATCGTGTGAGGAAAACAAAACAGAAAATAACTGTCAAATATTCAAAATACTGGGGGTCAAGTACACACTTACCCCCATATTTTTTTGTACGTGCGCTAATGACTTCCTATCTATTTTTCTTCAAGTGTTGAATCATTTTTGAGTATTTTTTGTCTCTCGTAAAGTTATTTATTTGTTTTTTAGATAATTCGAAAAGTACTGGTTATTGTTTGATGCCTATGCGGCTTACGGTAATCCCATAATGTTCACATACTCCTATTTATTTCGTCGAAATTGGAAGAGGGCATAACTTTTTACGTACGAAAAGGTAGATATGGAAATATCGGGTGCTCAATGAGAATGTATAAAAATAATTTTTACCAAAAAAAATTGCCAACAGGTCTAAATGAATTGCTCAATATGACCTCCAATTTTTTGATTACACATGCGAGTCCTTTCAATTAAAGTAAATCTTAGCCTATGAAAAATATGTGGCTTATACACAAAATCTTTCATACATCCCCAGACAATCCTGATCTACTATTTCTTTCATCAAGTAACTATCCAAATCATGGATATCATAATTTCATCTAAAATTTCCGAACATATTTTTCTTAATTTTTTTCTGATTTTATTTTCCGTTCGTTCGCGCACGACATATCATACGGAGGAGGGCTGGAAAATATTTTCTAAAAATTCAGCAATCCCCAAAACCGCTAAAACCGATTTTAAATTAAATTTGCTTCTCTCGGAAAAAAATCAATTTAATAATTCTTAAAAGGGTTGGCTCGTCATTCCACCCCCCCATCCTCCTAAAATAATTATTTCCGGAAATTCTTCAATTGAATTAATTAAAAGGGCTCGCATGTGTATTAAAAAAATTGGAGGTCATATCGAGCAACCTTTTTTTAGACGTTGAATTTCTATCAATTTTTTTTTTGTAAAAATTATTTTAATACATCCGCTCTGAGCGGAATTTCACAAAAGACAAAAAATATTCAAAAATGATTGAACACTTGAAAAGAAAATAAATAGGAAGATAAGTGTGTACTTGACCCCCAGTATTTTGAATATTTGACAGTTATTTTCTGTTTTGTTTCCCTCACACGATGTACCTCTTTGTGCTGAAGTAATGTACCAATTTTGAGATTAATTTCTTATTAAATACGCGAGTAATTAAAAAAACAGTTTTTAATTCCCAACTTTGACACCCTGTATATCGAATATGAAGGTCTACAATGAAAAATGGTATTCAGAAACTCATATTGTTTTTGTTCAAGAAATATATGGTTAATGGATTGACCTCCTTTTAGCGGACACCCTGTATTTTGTGAACTACTAGGACCATACAACTACTAGAAATTTACAAGGCGAAGTTCTTCTCTGACTATCAACAATTAACGTCGTACATGAATTAACTATTGGGAATCATCATATCACCAGTAGAAAAGAAAATTGAATATCTGTTGCCTATTTCATAATATTGAGTTGTACAGGCAATTTATGGACTAATGATGTTGGAATATGTTGAAATATAAATAGTAAGGAATAAGTTTGGCTTTTATAATTTATTGGTCATTGCATAACACACTATTGTGATCTACTAGGACTAGGATATTGTTCTTTTCAACATGAATATTCATTATGAAACAGATTGGAGCCAATAAAAACACGTAGGTTTTTCTCACCATGAAACGAATTTTCTGCTTACTTGGGTATAATCAAGTAATGTTCTACATACTTGTTTGCGTATTTTGACATCAACGAGGGGTGTTTCCAACGTTCTGGGAATGCTGCTTTAATTAAATTACGCATGACTTATAGGCAATGTTATTGGTGCCAGACAAGTCTTGACCTGTTTATGCAACTATCTAGTGCCATTATTGGTGCCAGACAAGTCTTGACCTGTCTATCTACTGCCATATTGTTCAGTCAGAGTTAGGTGTTCGACTGATATAGACGCGTTTTCATAGCACTGTTTGCGTAACCATGGAAGACGCAGACAAATTTTACAGAGCAATAATTTTCTTTTTGTGGAAAGAAGGTGTGTTTACATAAAAAATAATTCAGCGGCTGCAAGTGCAAACAGTATTGGTTCATCACAGCACTGATCAGTTTACAGTTGCTTGTCAAATTCAAATACCATCAGTAGTAATATTCTTTCAATCTGAACTAACTGAAATATGTCACTAGAACTGAACTGAATAGGTATTTCGAATGACGTTCATTATGGTCAACTGATTGTCAGTTCGTTTCTTTTTCATGTTCTGGTTCCCACGAGAAGGGATATACTGTAATTTTCAGAGAACATCGTGAAATAAAAGAATATCACTAATAAATCGAGTAATTTTAGCATAGATATGGTTTTCCTGTTATGCATCATGCTTCATAAAACTGTATATGTGAGTGTGAACGATATTCCTACTCAAAGTGTTCAAACAGAACAGAAAGGTAGATCTTGACAGATATACGAAAATGTCTTGGGTTAGGATGCTGAACGAATAACAATCACCCATACCCACGAAAACTACAGAATATTTTTAAATGTTGAAAAAAAAAATACGACGTCATCACAAGATGAACTAGTACTTTACCACTTCAATAATTTTGTTGAATTGTCACAATCCTAAAACCTTTTATTGATGGGTTTATATCGCAAATTCTAGTTGTTTATCAAGAAATACACCTTAAAGTGTTTATCATAACAAATATATAATAAAGAGGGAGCAACTCAAAGTAATTTCCACAATATGTTCATAAAATGAAATATACTGGTAGATAGCTAGAAAAAAAAACGATTCGTGTATTTGTCTATACCAATCTTTGCATAGATTTCGGAAGGAATGTAATTCAGATTTCTGCGTGCATATGCCAGGAAAGTAGTTGTTTTTCTCTCGTTATCTACCAGTTTCGTCCATTTTTTGAACATATTGTTACCAATTCCTAGTAGACAAATATATGAGTAAAAACATTTTTTGCAATTTTATATGTCCACACAGATTTGGTTCGGAGACAACTTGGACCCCAGGGTAGGTATATTCTTTAACACCTGTCGATTTCAACGATATACGAGCCAGCAAAGATCCATTCCATTTTCGTTGGCATGGTACGAGTAGAAACAACCTTCTCTCGATAACTCGTTTACATACCCGTCCAGCCATAGCCAGGATTGGCGCAGTGGAAGAGCGTCCACGACCGCAAGGTCGTGGGTTCGATTCCCAGCACGGGCAAGGAACTTTTTTCAATATTTTATTTACGAATTAAATATTGTAAAGTTTCGGAGCATCGGCTGGGGATATTCCTGTACGATTCGCTGTTGCGTTCCAATTAACAGTGCTGCTCCTAAAGTGGCGCATGGAGTCAGTAACAAAGCCTACACAGAACACGCAGAAAGAGATGATGATGTGGTTGTGAGCATCAGAGAAGAAGTAGGACGGTATATGTAGGTGGGTGTGGAAAAACTACCAACTGAGCGCGAGAGCGGGCCAGCTGCTTAGTGGACCTCGGTGTCTAACGGGGGTTAACGAGGATAGCTAGCAGGCCTGCCACTGCAGCATATGGTAGTGAGTACATTACTAGCCTACAAACGAACACCTCACATATCCTCTCATATTCCTTGGCTAACACCAGCCACCTCTGCGTTAGTGGCGGGACGTTCAGGCATACTTTCCACTATGCCAAATCTAAAAGTGCAAATATGATTGTAATATGTATTGTATTGTAAAACTCAGACGATAAATAAATGTCATTGACAACACCTTGGGGCTTGCAAAAAGGTCCCATTAGGGACTAGTTGCTGACGTGCAAACGTCCCCCCCATCAGTACCAGTACCAGTACCCTTCCAGCCAGCAGAACGTGCGCTTCAGTGTAACAGAGTTCCTCTTCTTATCCCTATCAGGTACCGTTTCGTGGAGCTGAATTACCGGCGCGGCGAGACCACCCACAAGGGCAAACCAGTGCCTGCGCGCGTCGAGACAGTGGTCGTCTTCCTGCCCGACGTGTGGAGCTGTCTGCCCACCAGACTGGAGTGGGACGGCGCGCATGCGGCCTACCGTCGCAAGCTCGAGGACGTCCTCAAGGTCATGGGGCAGCCGTTGCAGCCGCAGCCGAAGCAGCAGGACGAAGCGGACGTCTCGATGACAGACGAAAAGGCAGTTCACTTAATTTTAATTTTAAGTTAAATGAGTTGTTGTGGTGTGTGGTAGGCGCTGCGAGAAGGACGCCGTGTTGTGATTGGGGTGTTTGAGTGGGGCGTATGAACGTTTCTCAGCCATCTTCTCTCTTGCGCGCCTGGAAAGGCTTTTTAGTGAGCGACGAGTGAGGCAAATGGACTGTAGAGGCAACTTGCAGTGGTTACGGATATCTGTCTCTTTCTGACTCGTGTTGGTTAATGGAAGATTTGCGCGTTTCTCGAGTAATTTCTTGATTTTTATCTCAATTCAGGGGAAAGGTTGATGATGCTAACATTGGGAGACTCTGAATTTATCAATTTAAGTACTACCGTCTACCTACAAGTTCTTGAGTTACAAGGTTGTCTCTGATGGGGTAGAGGTTTACTTATATTTGCAGCAACAAATTCATTACTATGGAGGACATCATAACTAATTATTTATTCAAAAAATACACCTACATATAAATATAATATACTCACGGGTAAACAAAAAATTAGCGTAATTGATCGCCTTGTAACTGTTTTCACTTTATTTATTCGTTAATATTTGATTTATGTTTGAGAGTGATGGACTGGATTTTTGTTCTCAAGAAAAACTCATGGATTGGTCATTATACAGGGAAAAACAAAAGTTATCTTTCACCCTCGATTTCTTCACGTCCTAAGGCAAAATTGAGTGATTGAACTTTGAACTTAGTTTGATTTTGTTCTGGATCAAAGTGTTGTCCTTTCTTAACATAATGGTTTTTGATTCACGTCAATAACTTCTATTTAGGAGAAGATACAAGTGTTTTGAGGAAGTATAAAATTTTTGAAATTTTCAATAATCCAGGACCTATAGAGCATTTTTAGGATGAACTCCAGAGGCGCATTCGTATTTGTCCGGCATTGCCAGAGACTCTTCAAGAGCTACAATTTGCTCTTCAAGAAGAAATTGAGGCAATTCTTCGAGCATCCTTGAGAAATTTGTTCAACTCGATGCCACAATGGTTGAAGCTCGTCATTCAAGTAGAGGAAGGTATAATCGGTATCCAGGTCTGCTTTTCCTTTGTTTTTTGAAACTAAGGTTTTTCTTTGCCGGTGACTGCTTAGTCAGAGGAAATGAGTGATATTAATTTTAAGATGTTTTTTTTTTAAGTTCTTGATCAATGAGTACATGTAGGTTCTGCATTATTGTCCATACAAATTTTAAAAAATCCATATTCTCTCAAAGAGAAGACATTGACGTGAATCGAAAACCATTGTATTAAGAAGTTCAACTACTCACTTTTGCCACAGGGTATTGAGTAGTTAAGGGCGAAAGAGTAACTTCTGTTTATTTCTGCATAATGATCAAGCCATCAGCTTCTCTTGAGGACTAACATTCAGACTAATATTCCGAAATCAATTAAATCAGACAAGAATTAAATGCGTTATCCAAAAGTTACACAATAAGCTATCAGTGTTATAATTCAAAATCACCAACAACAGTTACAAATCACATAACATGCTAGAATATTTTCGAAACAACACTCTACAAATGAGCGCCATTAAAACTCACACTGATTTTGCCCCAAAATGCCAAAGACACCTTCCAGTTCACAAATTGGTTCCTTATGATATTGTTGAAATGCAGCTCAAACCCTATTTATGCTTTCTAGGGTCAGTTGAAGGTCCCCACTTCTTATCGGCGACACATATCCGGTATCCTGGAATGCATTTCCCCTTCAATTAATAATATTCAATTTCTATATGACATTTTTTTTATCGCTTGGAGCGCACGAAAGGGAATCCCTATAATTGGCACCAAGAAGCGATATCGAACCTTAAAGGGATGACAAGCTGCGCACGGGCCATCGACCGTGGTCTCGTCAATAAAGAGTTATAGAGGAGTGGTAATCATTTTGTCTGTCTGCTTTTTGGAGGGTATTATTATGTATATATGTTGATGTTAGAAATTGATACATGAAAGAATACTCCCGGGTTCTTCAGGCATTAAAGCATGTTTTCAAGGTTTAGGTGTACTTAGACATGCGCAAACGGTATGCCATTTTTTCCGTAGCATAATTATGTATAGCACAACATGTTTTCTTCTCAAAGACAGCCTGTTTGAAAACGAGGAAAAATGTTTTTTTTTTAATGTAACTACACCTGACCGTGATTACCTTTTGGTCTCACGCAGTCGGTATGCCTTTGTAATTTCACAGGAGAGTCATGTTGCTGATATCTCATCTGTAAATTGCTTTATAAGTCTGATATTTGTGATATGAAAGTTTTGTCATAAGTGGTATACCTAACCACGGTTTGATTTTGATGAAAAACTATTGGTTCACGTGGAAATGATACGATTGTTAGCTGAAATGACAAAATGGGCAGATGTAGACTTTTATCGTAAGATACCTTACGATAATTTGAATCTTCAATAGATAAATCAAGGAAGCAAACATCACCAACTGGATGTTGAAGAATAATGCGAAATTATAATATTATTTATTGACAGGAAACAAATAACTTCTTTGGCAAAAAATCAGAAACACTCTGATATAAAATAAAAATTCATGTTCCTATATCAATATAACAAAAACTCGTGAAATAGACTCATCAGCTCTGGTACATCACCAGAAGTCTTCATTTCCAGATGTTCATGTACTGAGAGAAATCATTATTTTTTGTTAACAAATCGATTTATTTTGGCCTCGTTAGTTCAATGTGAACAATATTTGATACTACAGAATATCATTAGATATTACCCAAGCCTGCCCAAAACAATGAACAAACGATTTGTTGCCAACTCATTTCTTTGTTATTATTAATCCGGATTGATATTTGAATAATTTTTTGATTAAAAACTCATCGCAAGTTTGCATTTGCACCACAAGGATTGATTTCTTAACACTTAACTAAAATTTTTGAGGATTGAATGCATTTTTTTTTAAATTAATGAATCTGAGTTATTTATTATCAATAATATGAAAGAGATAACGTGTTGAATTTCCACCAAAATTAATCTTGATGAAAATATGATAATTATATCTATCTAATGTGGTCAGTTTCATTGATCTGATAAAGTGTCTTGAATGAATGATTATTTTCATTATAATATAGTCGAATTATCTATTTTTTCGTGAGTAAATTAGAAAATTTTGATACTTACGTTGTCACGACATTAACAGACGACAAATAGTGAAATATCGTATAGCACAGAACCGCTCGTTAGCAACAGGATTGCTACAACGTGATGCTGACGTTACGATAGTGTGCAGGTCACACTCAGATAAACGATGATGTTGCGGTTCCTCTTTCAGGGGAACTGTTTGAAAGTGTTCCATACGATATAAATCGGAGTTGAATTAAAGCCAAAATGAGTATTCAGCTTACGATACTCTGGCGGGACCTTCTTAATAGCCCAGACTTCACGATAATATCAAAAACTCATTTTCTGAAGAAATGTCACTTACGATGTTCTGCCAAAAAGGTATCGATCTTTCATTTCGGGACACAGGCAGCTTGAGTGAAATCTTGTAAAAATGCTCAATTTGCGAGCATATAATGTTAATATACTGTAATGCACGAAGAATTCTTCCATGTATCATTTTTTTAACATCAAAATGTATACATAATGATACAGTACTGGGTGAAATCACTTCCCAAAACCTGTCACTACAAGCCGGTCTATAAGGGAATCCCTATAATGTTCAAAGAACATCTTCCGTAACTAGGGAGGATGAGGAGAGGAAGTAGGTATTGGATTTTTCCTAACTTTTGGAGGTTATAAGTTTTTGGACATACTTTCTTTGACAAAAATTATAAAGCTTTGCCGGTCTATAGACAAACGAGTTTTGGTGAAGAAGTGCTGACTGGGCTTGTCGAGTTCTTCTGGCTGGTATCGCTAGAATGATAGCAGAGATTTCTGAAGAACATTTCCCGTGAAAGTATCTGTAGAAAAGTGAGAGGTCGTGAACTTTTTTACGGTGTTACAATTATGTCAAAGAATTACTGAGTGTCGCATCTACAACCAGGCGAATGGCTCTTTGTATGGAATCTATAAGAGCATAAGCGTATATTTGGGTGCTGAACCCCATTATTTGAAAACAGTATTCTAAAATAGGCCTCATCTGTGCTATGAAGATCATGGAAGCTGATGAGGTGTAAAGTAGATTTTTGCACGAAATAAAAATCATTGTTTTTCTGAAGCAGCTTTTGCGGAGGATCGGACATGATTCTCCATGTAAGATTATTGCTGATGGAAATAGAATGGTGGTACCAGACATTGTTATATCAGACCTACCGAGTTCCGCCTTCATAGAGAAATTACAGGCTTGAGTTTTGGTGGCGTTGAATTCAACTAGGTTGGTGGTTCCCCAGGCTGTGATTTCAGCGAGATCGTCATTGACATCGCTGACATGCCTTCGTCGTAAGTCCTCAGTTTGCTGGGAAGAAATGGGAATTCTGGAAGAGATCGCAGTATGGAGAGTACTATCATCTGCAAAGCTGTGGATAGGGCAAGTTGTTACTACCAACAGATCATCGATATGAAGTACAAGAGATTTTGGTGCCATAACCTTGTAGAACGCGAACGCCGGAATTGATAGAATGGTATCAGACGATTCACCGTCCACCACCACGTGGAGCGATCTGCCTGAAAGAAAACTCGATGGCATAGCTGGGGTGGTAAGCCGTATTATGGTAGTTTGTGGAGGGATCCTTGCTGCCAAACACGGTCGAATGCCTTCGAAATATCCAATGCTACAGCTAGAGATTCCCCATGTCTTTTTAACGAAGCTTGCCATAAATGGGTGACGTAGGCAAGTAGATCTCCAGTCGATCTTCGGTGGAGAAAGCCATTATTGTCTATCATCAATGATTCCTTAGCTTTCCAGATATTTGATAAATTCAATGTTGATGGTTTCCTTCATCACTTGGAGATAACTGATAACAGGGCAATAGGCCTGTAGTTGTTAGGCTGGTTTTTGGTTCCCTTTTTTTTGGAGTTGGAGATTGGTTGGACTCTGGCTATCTTCCTGCGCGATGGAAAAATACCCGACTTGTACGAGATGGTGCCAATTCTTCTTGAGGATAACGGGTGAAATTCGATTAGGACCGTTAGCCTTATTCGTTTCGAGACCAAGCAAAATGCGTCTGATAGTGCATTGACGGAAAACGATTTCGGGCATTCGACTTTCTACGGGTGAAATATCTGGCGGCACTCTTCCCTGGAAATCTGAGGTACAGTTTGCAGCGAACATCTCTGCAAAATTATTTGCTTCCTTCTGCGATGATGTTGCTAATTTGCAGTCGGCTTTGGAGAGTAGTAGAAATGGACTATTAGTGAAATTCCCGACTGCTTTCACGAGAGACCAAATCAAACGGATGTCATTGGGAGTTTCTATCTTATTTTGGCATTGTTTCATTGTTGGCAAGTTTCTTTTGATGCACCTATTATTTGGCTGCAGTTATTCCTGGCTTTCAACGTATTCTTCTCTAGTCGCGAGGTTAAAGTTTTTGCGCCATCGATGGTAGGCTGTTTTGTTGAGGTAGTCTTTGAGTAGGTAGACCAGTTGTGCCGTTAGCTGCTAGCTGTGCAGATTTTCATTTAGGATTTGCATAGTCCCGTCTCCTGTAAGATAATTCAAGCGCCAAAATGTCGTTAAACATCACGAGTACGAAAGAGACAAGCCACCTTTGTGGATGACCCACTCCGTGATACCAGAGAAAAAAATAACGGTCTCCTGTCCAGTCCGTACGGCATTCAACGCTTGCGCGACTTAACCTCTTTCTTCTTCTCGTCCTTAGGAGGAAGATTCTTCTTCGTTGAGCAAACTGGAACCGACCCCTCATGGCCAGCTGGACGTGAAGACGATGCCGGTGGCGGAGCTGAGGAACGAGCTCAGGGCTCGCGGGATGAGCTACAAGGGGCTGAAGAGCCAGCTGGCGGCCAGGCTAGGGAAGGCGCTGAAAGCGGAGGAGGAGGCTGAGGAGAAGGGGGAGGAAGAGGAAGAAGAAGATGAGGTTGGGGAGGGGGATGAGGAGGAAGAGAAGGGGAAAAACGATGAGGAGGCTGAGGTGGAGAAGCAGGAGGATAAGAAGTCAGAGGTAGGGGTGTTTGGATTGTCATTTCTGTAGGTTTTGTTGTGTAAAGGGTGTCCCACTTGAATGTGTCACCCTCCCCCCTATTATCCTCGTCATTCAAAAACTTTTCAGTAATAATTTTTTAAGAATGTTTTGAATCTGTACTTACTTTTTCTTCAAGTATATCAACAAATTACAGGGCTGCTGAAAAAAACTTTATTTTTGCATATGAAATGATCTATATTTTTTCCGTAATTCGATGAAGAACGTCAATCTGAATTCGAAAATATACAGGGTGTCTGTGAAAGGTTGGGATATGGCTCGGCTGTGGACTCCTGGGATAAAAACAAGTTGATTTAGGCCAACTTACCTATATCCAAAATCGTCTCGTTGCGTTGGTACAAGGCGTTGAAGTTATTTTTGTGAAAAAATAATTTTGCTCATAAAAAGAGTTGGCTGAGATCGATTTTCATAATTTTTGGCATGGCATGTTCTGTGACTGTAAGTCAACCATGTTGCCGTACAAATTGTGTGATAACTTTTCAGACGTCAGACTGGAAACATACAGTTTTTTTTTCCAGAAAGATATTCTCTTCAGAAATATTTTTTCTATCCTGATAATTTTTGATAAGTCTCGAGGTTCATTTGCAAACAAATAATTTCCATACATCCAACCTAAAAAAGTATATTATTGAAAAAGCTGAAGGATATTACTTCATAATGTATTATTGTTCAAAATGACCTCCGCTAACTTGCAAACAATGGAATTATTGATCGGCAATCTTCCATTATTCTCTGACGCAGCACGTCTTGTGTTTCAGATTGCGTGGCATACATTCTTGATTTCAAATGACCCCATAAAAAAGTCCAAAGGGGTCGATTAGGTGATCTTGGAAGCCATACAATGTGGCATCTTATATCAATGACCTGGGTAATATTATCTGAAAATTGCTGTATAGAAACAGCGTAATGAGGGGGTGCACCATCCATATACGTATTAATAATCAATACGGATAATCTCTATCTGTTTCCATAGCGAAACATAAAGCCGATTTTTTTAGACAAATGACTATCCATAAGGAAAAGTTTTGAAACGATCAGACACATACTGCTTTGATTGAAAGGCTAGTAAACGTCATTGTCCACCGAAACGCATGTCTTTGATGACTACTATAATAGCGCATGACGCATGCGTATCATGCCATCAAATCCTTATGGATATTCATTTGTTTCATATTTTCGGCTTCATCCTGGCACCCGTTATGATCCGTATTGTTTATTAATACGTATATGGCACCATCATGTTGAAACATTTTTTTATTTTTTATTGCCGTTACTTTCTGAAATTTCTGTTATCTGAAAAATCGGTCCAACAAGACGATTCCCCAAAATCCCGGCCCAAACATCTAATATTTGAGGATCTGTGTATGACATTCTATGAATTGTGTCTATTCATTTCGTCATTCAACATTGATGTACAGGGTGGCTGGAATTTGAGCCTCATCATTGGGATCTCGTAAACCGTAAGAGATACAGGGTCGGTTAAATTATGGCAAAGTTGCTCAATTTGATGCCTAACAGTATGTCGTTCTGAAACTTGGAAAATTCTGATTACTTTCGGAGATATCCGAAAAAAATCCAAATTTCATGAAACCGTTTCAATTTTTTTCTGGCGATATTTCAAGAGATCAATTGATATGATAAACATTTTATCATGGCCACTTTTTCTTCCTTACAAGATGGCGTTTTCATCATCATCAACTTATATTTTTTCAATGCGGGCCTGGATTTTTTATTTCATTTTTTGTTACCTTTGGATAGCCCAAAAACTATGAGCTATTACAAATTTCCATTTTCAAATGTTCCGATGACAAAAATTGACAGTTTCTTTATTTTTTCAAAATATTTGATCCGAAACCTTTTATTTGAAACATTATTATTCATCAGTAATATAAATAAGGAACGCTAATCAGCACCTGAACACTGGAAAGATTTCAATGAAACCCCTCACCCCTCCACTGGCCTAATTATTACGAAACTGAACTTCTGGCAAAATAATATCTAATACTCAGTCCATTAATAAAAACTGTGCCTAAATTGTAAAAATAACAAGAAACACCTTAGAATTAAATACTCGAATGACCCCCCTTGCACTTCTAGGCATTTTCATATGCGTCTAAGCAGGTTGCCCGTAAGCGAGTGCTGGATAAGTTTTCCTCTAGCTTGTAGGGTTGTTATTTCTTAAAATATTTATGTACCTTTGAGTATCTTTAAATAAACGGTTTTTTGAATATCAACATAAAAAATTATTCAGCGGGGATATATCGGGGGGGCTCCTTGCAGGCCAGCGCAGCACCCCTTGGTTTGCAATCTACTGATTGGGAAGCGTTTCATTTAGATACTGAGTAACGGCCCTTCCATTGTAGGGTGGTGCGTATTCCTGTTGCTGGAGTATATTCAACGACTCGTCTTCAAGAGGTTCTAAATTTTGGATGAAATAATGAATATTTAAAAGAAATGAAGAAAATGTTTGCAATAGAAACATTTGGGCTATCCAGAGGTAACAAAGAATTAAATAAAAAAATCCAGGTCCATATTTAAAAAAGATAAGTTGATGATGGTTTCTGGAAAACGAAGCGTCATATTTCAAATTTGAAAACACTATCATGTAGGGAAGAAAAAGTGGCCATGATGAAATGTTATTGGTATCAATTGATCTCTTCAAATGAAGCCCTAATAAAATAAAAACGGTTTCATGAAATTTTGATTTTTTTCGGATATCTCCGAAAGTATTCGGAATTTTCCAAGTTTCAGAACGGCATTCTGTTAGGCATCAAATTGCGCAACTCTGCCATAATTTAACCGACCCTGTATCTCATACGGTTTACGAGATCCCAATGATGAGGCTCGAATTCCACCCTGTACATGTACATTCATCTGAAAAACACGTATTGGTGAACAATTCTGATCAAAAATCATGACGCGAATGTGGGTTTGTCAATCATTGTCAAGTATCGATTTTATTCAATGACTGTCAAATCTCAACTGATTTTCAAAAACGATGCACCGAAATGGAGTGCGCTTCAAAATGATCTGTTGAATGTTGGGTAGTGCCATTCAAATTTTGAAGTTGAAGTTGCTACGGTTTATCGAGTGGATTTGACTATCGAAAATGCTCCCGCGGTAGAGAATTCGGTTCTCCAATTATAAGGAGGGGGGTCAAGTTTTCGTCGAAAGACCCAGTATCTTGATCATAGACAGATGTTTGTAAAAGTCGAGAACCATTATTCCAGTAAACAGACACTGAGCATTGGTGTTCCACAGGGTTCAGTGCTGGGACCGCTATTATTCTTATTATTTGTCAACGATATGCCTGAGCTAAGATGTTAGCACTATTTGCAGATGACACTTCATTAGTTGTGACAGCAGGCACCTCTGTGGAGCTTGCTGAGTCAACCAAATTGATCATGAATAGCTTCAATAGTTGGTGTGATCAAAATGGTTTGATTTCGAACATTGCCAAAACAGAATGCATATATTTCAGATTGCATGCTAGCTTGAACGTCTTTAAACTCAATTTGGATGGTGAGACGGTTGTTTCTAAAACTTGTACGAAATTTTTGGGTATCCATGTTGACCAGCATTTGAGATGGACTTACCAATTCAACACAGTTATCAAAAAGCTCAATAAATCTAGATTCGCAATCTCACGAATAAAGTCATCTATGCCAATAGAGTCATTGTTAACAGTGTACTATAGTATGGTATATAGCCATATGTCATATAATGTGGTGCTCTGGGGAAATTGTGCTGATAGTGACAGAATATTCATTGCTCAAAAAAGAATAATTCGCACTATGTTCAACTTGCCCCCTAGAGAGTCATGTAGGCCCTATTTTGTTCATTACGAAATCCTAACATTCCCCTGTATATACATTTTCAAATGCCTGCTATACTTCAGGGAAAATATAGGTAAGTTCAAAACTAATTCCCAGTACCATTCATACTCGACCTTAAAGAAAAGTTTCTTGTGTATTCTTTCACATAAGAGAAGCTAAATTTGAAACAAGTCCTAGTTATTGTGGAATTATGTTCTACAACCATCTCCCCGAAAGCATCCAATGCCTGGATCGACACATTCAAAAAATACATTAAATCGCTATTAGTATCCAAATGCTACTACAGCATAGATGAGTTTATGTCTGATAGAGATTTCAGAATCTAATCTGTTTTGTTTTTATATACAGGGTGATCCACGGTGGATGGCCTATTAGAAGTATCTGAAGAACGAAAAGACAGAACATTCTGAAAGATGGGATGCTTCGATAATTGAACATTCTCTATCCGTCTAAAATATTTTCATTAATACAGTGTTGCCACTCCTATCAGAAACAACTAGCAACTTCGTTATTTTAAATGGAGCACCCTGTATTTTATTGCATTTTTAGATTTTTCCTGAAGAGCTGATTTCATCAATGTATCACACTTGGGGTCTAGCAGGAATGATTACAGATTATAGGGTGTTCAAAATCGAGATTTTTCAATTTCAGGAGTTTTTTGTGTCTAAACTATTCATTATCGATCAAAACGGCTTACATGACCCTATATTAACTTTCGATTCACTATCTACTGACATTTAATTGGAACAGATACAGGGTGATCAGAATTCTGAATCTTGAAGCACCCTGTATTTTTTCCAATAAATTTCCAGTAGATAGTGAATCAAAAGTTGTGATAGGGACATGTAAGCCGTTTTGATCAATAATGAATAGTTTCGACACAAAAAAATCCTAAATTTGAAAAATCTCGATTTTGAACACCCTATATCTCTGTAATCATTCCTGCTAGACCCCAAGTGTGATGCATTGATGAAATCAGCTCTTCAGAAAGAATCTTAAAATGCAATAAAATACAGGGTGTTCCATTTGAAATAACAAAGTTGCTAGTTGTTTCTGATATAAGTGGCAACAGTGTATCGATGAAAATATTTTAGACGGATAGAGAATGTTCAATTATCGGAGCATACAAATTTTCAGAATGTTCTGTTTTTTCGTTCTCCAGATACATACTTCTAATAGGCCATCCACCGTGGATCAGCCTGTATATGTTTGTAACCTGTGTGATCACTGTTTTATACACTCAATTTTCTCATACATATACTTATTAGTACCACCCTGACCTGTGCTATACATATAAATGTCTGAAAGGATCAATACATTATTTATTTATTTATTTATTGAAAATGTTACTTCCAGTCAGAATCAAGTTCTGGTATAAGGAAGTATATTTAACAATAATACCTAAAACGATACAATTATAATAAACTGATGAATAATAAAATATTTGAAAACATTGATTATTAAATTTTGACAAATCATTTCATATTGGTGAGCAAAAATCAATTTGAATATGAATCAAAAGTTGAAAAAAAAAAGTCATCTATTTCGTTCAGAAATGATCAATTTTTTAAGATGGTATTTATTTATTATAATTCGCCTGTAGTAAACCGGAAATGAAAAAACAATTGTTACGGCAATTCCAGGTAGGAGAGAAGGACAAGGAAAAGGACAAGGAGAAGGACAAGGAAAAAGAGAAGGAAAGGGTAAAGAAGCTGGACGAGAGAGAGCGAGCCCTGATAGAGAAGCGCCACACGTTGCCCGAGCAGCCGCACATTCTCGTCCATCCCTCCAAAACGGCCAAATCGGGCAAATTCGATTGCACCGTCATGTCGCTCTCGCTCCTTCTCGACTACCGGCCTGAAGATACGAAAGAGCACTCGTTCGAGGTGTCGCTCTTCGCCGAGCTGTTCAACGAGATGCTCATTCGCGATTTCGGCTTCAACATTTACAAGGCTCTGCACGATTTGCCTGAGAAGAAGGAAGAGAAGAAGGATGAGAAAAAGGAGGAGAAAAAGGAGGAGAAAAAAGACGATAAGAAAGACGAGAAAAAAGTCGAGAAGAAGAAGGAGGCTAAGAAGGATGCTAAGAAGGATGATAAGAAAGAGGATAAGGAGGATAAGAAGGAGGAAGAGGAGGATAACTCTGAGGGCGAGGAAGCAATGGAAGACGATAAGGATGAGGTGAGTTGTTGTTCTTTGATTGTTTCTTTTTTTTTTCTTGTTTCAATAGTTCGTCCTTAGTTAGTCCACTTTTACATCAAATATTTCATTCTCTAGGATTGTGATTATATTCATGCTCCAAGTTTGCTTGGTATTCTCTCCACCTAGTTTGTCTTACACATGGGCACAGTTTTTCATTATCTAATATCTGGCTTCGAACTTTATAACCTTTTTGATGATGATCAACAATCCAAGTTTGCATTTATTTGGGCCTTATAACCTAATCGATTGTTTTTTCAAAACATCTATCAATTGTACAAACCAGTGTGAGTTGAATGTGAATTTATTGTGATAATTGAGTGGTGTGCGAAGAATCAAAGTTATCAAGTATAAAGGAAGACAAGTGTGTAGGTGTGTTCATGAAAGAACACAAACTTGATCTGTATTGTAGGTGTGCCTAAGTATTCATCTATTCATTGTAATTCTCTAGTTGTACGCAAAAAACACCAGTGTGTAGGTTTTTTATCTTCAATTCAAAACCCAAAAGGAATTGAAGACAAAAATTGTGTAGATATTCAAGTTTCCCTAAATGCATGTGAATTGTCAAGCATTTTCACTACATCTCATTCTTCAAGAGGTCTCATGTAATCACCAACTTAGTCCAATATATTCGAAAATCTTTTTTTCTACAAACCCACACACAATTTAGTTTGGGAAGTGTCATTTTCCCGCAACATTGATATGATAAAATAGCAAAATATAAGATGATAGGTGATGGAATATGATAGTTTGAGTTTGTTTGTTGCAGTATTAAGTATGTATGTTAGAATCATCCATCAAATTGTACTATTTATTGTGAGAGTTGAGAAATATTGAAAAATAAAAATTGATTATTATAAAAATCTCCCAATAGATTTGGATTGATCTGATGGGAAACGATTATTGTTGTGATGCCAATCAAACCTCAAATGAGTTTGTAATTGTTGAAGTGACAGACACAGCATTACTGTCATTTTCGATTCAGTGGAATTGCCACAATGTGATCAAAAACTTCCACCTATAGGGATACGATACAGATGCGTTATTGCCAACGAAGTTTTAAGAAAGGTATGAGAAGCTATACACGCGTTTTATTGAATGGTGCAACAATAATAAGTAATGAAATTACCGAATGAAGAAGATGTATTTTTGGCTCATTTCCTAGAAGTGTCTGAAACCTAGAGACCAAACACCTTGCTTCCGCAATGAACCTATACATAATGCGTCAAACTGTAAGTTCACAGTAGCTATTACTAATAATCAGTAGATAGAGAATATATTAAAATTTCTCTTGTTAGTTGTTCCTGAATGAATGAATAATTAATTGAACAAATCAATCGATTTCCTACGCTTGTCGAAAAAATATTGTTCCTAACTCATGCGGAAAGTGTCTTCCCGCACTCGACTGCTTGCCCTTGTCAACGGCAGTAGCGTGCGGGAAAGAATCACTTTCCGCACTTGTTAGGAAAATTACTATTCTTCTATGTTTATTTCCAGCAATGAAAATTTGTTCAGGGTATATTCCATCAAATTTGAATGCAACTCATTTCATAAATAATCTCTGTACTGACTCTTGACTCTGACAGGATGTTATATAGGGGATCACATAAGGAAACCATACTCTAACCGCAATTGCAAATATAAGTTGAAAATATTTATATACCTTTCTTGATTCTGGAAGTCTACGATTTCTGAATATCATGCCTAACATTATTTCAGCTGATGATATAATTTTAGTAATGTGTGGCAAGTACTGGAATTTGAGTCAAAATAAATACCAAGATATTTCGTTAGGTTGTGTTTTTCGAGATTGTTGCGATTTATGGTGTAGCTAACTTCAAGTATATTGACCTTCAGTAAATATGTTGCTTAGTGACATTTTTTTCATGTTGAGTGATAATTTATTATTATTATTATTATTATTATTATTATTATAATAATAATAATAATAATAACATACATTGATCCCAAAAAACATATAAGGTTTATAGAGGGATACAAAAAAAAATAAATCAAATATGTCTTACAATGAAAGATAAGCAGTTAATAATCAGAATTAATTGACACAAGGAGAGAGTTGAATGAATAAAACATATTTCTTCAGTTCACTCTTGGATTTTTACGAGCCTAATAGATTGTTTTCTGTTGGGTAGATTATTATCAATATTCATTCAACAAAAATATAATGATTTGTTCCCTAATTTTTCAGTTTTTACATTGACAGTTTTCAAATGTTCACTTTGTCTGGTATTATGCTCATGGGTATCAGAATTGATATTGAAACTAAGATTCCAGTGCTTTTTTATTATTTTCAGTGAAATGGATAAAAATACATACTTTCATTTTGAAGAAAGAGTCAATATATAGCAGATCCATTGGTTTGTATAGTCTAGATGTTGATTCCAGAAATGGTAGTTCATAAATACATTTTTTCCACCACGAGTTCTAGAACCTACCATTACTTACTCTTTTTCAAGGTGTAAAGTATGTTTTTACTTTTTCTACCAAGGTAGTTTTCGTCATTTTATGAATCACTAGTCAATAAAGACATAGCCACCTCTGATATAATTAACCCGCCTTCACTGTTCTAAGGCGAGATTCGCAGGAATGGCACTAGAATCTAGTAGGTTAGGTATTTATCAATAACGCCTTGTCATATGCTGTCATGGTCATGGTTACTAGATTTTGATTAGAATTGAAAAGAAGTGCTCCCATAGTTACAATAGGTTCATATTTCAGTTTCACAGAACTATAGTTATTGAAATATATTGCTATTGGTGAAAAAAATGTGTATACATCTTGGTAGTAAAGAATAATATCATCACGGGACCTGGGTAATACCGATATTCATTACTACCTTGGCTTTATTTTAAAGAGATATCAGAGGTTTCAAAACAGATTTTGCTGCAAGCGGCCACTTGATTGATGTCTTTTTGAAGTATTTGACAATCAGTAATTGTGTTGATAGATCTGAACATTTCTACATCATCTACGAAGAGGAGTATTTTACTAGATATATTGTATGTTGTTCCGTGTATATTGTATAGACGTGGGAATGTGTGTCAATGGCAATGCAAGCTAATAACGTGAAACACATCAAATTTGTTATGAAACCATGTTGCTCTAGAGCTATTATATTTCTTAATTTGAGAAACAATCTATTGTATATACAGATTTCGAATGCCGTTGCAAAGTTTGACTATAGGGTGATTGGCCTATAGTTTGTAATTTCATTAATTCAACTAGTTTCGAAAACCGGACAAATTTTAGATGTTTTCCATTCATTTGGAAATGTAGATTATTTGTAGAGGTTTGGCTGAAACTATAGACATATAAGACGGGGGAGGCATAACATTTCATTCATAAAACACTATTTGTTTACAGTCATACATTTACGCAGATTGAATGACATTTGGAATTTTTTAGTGTGCCTTAGGGTTAGAAAATTGTATTATTTAGTGTAAGTTTATTTCTCTAGATTAGGGTTAGAAAATTGTATTATGTAGTGTTAGTTTATTGTTATGACATAGTGGTTTCAAGAGTTTTTGTGGGTTTTCCTCATGAATTATGTTTGCAAAATTGAAGTGAGAACAACTTTTTTCCAATATAACTAGATGCACCACTATTTATTCTTCCACGAAATAGAATGAGTTGATTGAATTTCTATTTCATTTCACCAATTTATAGTGATTGAAAAATATCCAAAACGATCAGATATATATCTAACCAACCAAAATTGAATTCGAAGTTTATATTATTTCCACTCAGTAAATGTGAATACTGATCAGTTTTATTAAGAAAAGATGAATTCAAGACATAATTGTGTATTGGTAGGAAAATACTGTAATGATATTTCCCTTAGAGGGACTCTAGAATCATCATCAGGAAGACAGGAGTACAATGATCATCCTGTAACACGCATCCCAGATTGTTCTCCAACCTCCCAATGATTCCCACATGCACCAGCATATTTCCGAACACTGGTCATTTAGTCATTCCCTATCAACTAGCAACACTGCATGTGTTGAAATATTGACGTCACTATCAACGTAGCTTGAAAGTCCTTTATTATTTTCTCCCATAGGAAAAGACCGCTGAAGACGCGAAGACCGAAACGAAAAGCTCCAACTCCAAAGAGCACAAACCGTCCTCTAGCGACAAGAAGGACGGCAAAGAGAAAACGTCGAAGCAAGACGAGGATGCCGACGAAGAGCAGGAAGACGACAGTGGCGGCGACGACGACCAAGCCAAGAGGGACAGGAAGAACAGGCCGGCAGCGGGAGGTAAGAGAGAGAGAGAGATGTACAGTGTGTCCAGTTTTCGATGCTTTTGCATGATATCTCAGTTATCTTTGGAGATAGAACCTTGCGGTTTTCGCGGTCCTGTGTCACTTTTTTGTGAAACTCAAGATGGCCTAATCAGATTTAGCAGGACTGTTTCCGTTTATGAGATACAGGGCGATTTTGAAAATTTATACTTTTTGGACCCCCTCTATATCAACGAAGTTTATCAGCAAAAATGTCAAATTAAAATCTTAACCCATAGAGAATTTTATGCAGAATCCAGTGGCGCACACAAATTTTTTTTTCGGGGTGTGGTTTTGAAGATACGACTCAAACCTATGATTTTTTAAATTGAACACCCTGTATTTTATGAGCTCATTAAATTCCTTATTTTTTTCCCTTCGAAATGATATATGATGTATGAATATAACATTTTCAAAAATGTTCAAAAATCACTAAAACATTGAATTTTAATAGTGGGCAATGGGTTTTTCGAGGGATTTTCATATAAAGTTTACAATTGGAAGAATATTTTCTTTGATTGTTCCATGAAGGGGGAAATGACAATTTCAACACTAATTAACTTGCAATACACAAGACTTAGATACCTGATATCCACAAATATATAGTAATAAAAAGTTTATAATGTAGAATAAGCACCTGATTGAATATTTACTAAAACTATTGAATTTCGAAATTATTCAGTGATTTATTCATTGAATTGTTCAAATTGATGTCCATTTTCCATCACAAACTTTCTCAATACATATTAATCATTGAATGATGTCTTTGTAATTCCTGGAAAACTGCATCTGTTGTTCCACAAAGTTCTTCAAGTATGTTGGGTCACTCACTGTATTAAGAAGTATTAAGAAAGTTTGTCAATTGTATGTTAGGGAAAATGGATATCAATTTGAATATGTCAATGAATAAGTTACTGAATAATTCCGGAATTCAATTATTTTAGTAAATATTTAATCGGGTGCTTATTCTACATTATGAACTTTTTATTACTATTTATTTGTTGCTATCAGGTACCCAAGTTTAGTGTTTTGTTAATTAATAAGTGTTGATATTGGTTTTGACCTCTCCATGGAAAAATTTGAAGAAATATTTCTTCAATTGGAACGTTTTTTATAAGAAAAATCCATAACCAACTATCAAAATTCAATATTTTAGTGATTTTGAGCAATTTTGAAAATTTTATATTCATTCTTTATATATCATTTTGAAGACAACAAAATAAATGAGCTTATGAAATACAGGGTGTTTCATTTAAAAAATCATATGTTTGAGTCGTATCTCCGAAACCATACCCCGAAAAAAAAATTAAGTGCGCCACTGGATTATGCGTGAAATTCTCTATGCGATAAGATTTTGATTTGACATTTTTGTTGAGAAACTTCGTGGATATAGAGGGGGTCCAAAAAGTATGAATTTTCAAAATCGCCCTGTATCTCATAAACGGAAACAGTCTTGCAAAATCTGATTAGGCCATCTTGAGTTTCACAAAAAAGTGGCATAGGACCGCGAAAACCGCAAGGTTCTCGGCAAAAGCATCGAAAACTGGACACACTGTACAGTGTGTCGTCTTTCGTAGCAAAATTTTGATTTTTATTCAGGAATCGAATGTCATGAAAATATACAGGGGCTCCAATTTGATATAAGAAAAATATAGTGCCTTGAAATTTGAAGAGTTTGCCACTAAATTTTGCACATCCTGTGATGATTTGTGTCAATCAAACTCGTTTAGCGATCCTCTAAGGCCTTATTTGATATGTATCTCATGTTTCTATTGACCAGGCACTCTTTTTTTTGTAATTAATGTTTTTGACCAGTGGTGTAAAATTGAATTTTTCTTGTTAAATTTTTTTTACGTGATTATTTCATTCACACCCGGTTGGACCTATGAAATGCCATGATTGAAGTCACATGATATGCGATATCAGCGGCTATTTAGGTAAACAAACAATATGAGCGGCTATTCTGTTCGCCAGCATAAGAGTGCTATGGTTGTCAAACTTTGACATACCTATCAGTCACTCAATAATTGAAATATCTCGTTTTGGGTCAACTTCCACTACGGAAATTCGAAATTATGTAAGCGAATCGATATCAGAAAATAACAAGGAGAGTAAAGAGTCTGTCTGGGACAATCCATGTTTTTTTGCCAGCAGAAAAACTATGAATTTTGTGCGACTACTCCATCTCTCGTGATTGCCCAAATCCTAAAAGATTGGGTGAGGAGAATTGTGAGGAATATTAGGAATACACAGTTGAAATTGATATGGAAAATTATATACAAGAAGGTAACTTCAATGAACATAAACGTTAGACAAATCCATTTGAATATATCGAATTCAAAGGTGCCAGGGTTGTGCATAATGCAAAAAGGCGAAGCCTACAATATTTTCCCCAAACAAGAAAGGAAAGTACAAAAGCTCTAATCAAAGAATGTTAACGCTATCAATAGCGTTAATATTTTTTCTTTGCTCTAACTTTAGATGAATTGATTAAAAATTGTACGTAGATATGATGAGAATACCCCAGACGGCCTTCAAAAGAATTTTTATTCAAATAGTATCTGCAGAATTGTAACTTGAATAAAATGTTGAAACTCATATAAATCAGTATTTTTGCATTGTTCATGAAATAATCTTCCTGAATATCACTCGACCATGGTACTCTCGATAGAATTATGACGAAAATAATAGTCGGCTATTTGTCATGGTCTCGGGATATTACCTGCGAATATCACTGAACCGATTTCAATTAAATTCCATGAGTATGTGGGTAACCACTGGAAGCACACAAATGTGCAACGAAATATATTACATGCCATTCAAAAGAATCATTATGATGTCACACTTTCTTGAGACACCCTGTATAATCGAAATTATTTTCCTGGTATGCGCTCTATCAGACAATTGAGGTCTGCAAAATATCAACATCCTGACTCAACTGATAACTGAGCTATAGAGGACGGGAGGTGAGATGCTGGACCCTGTATATTTCGTGTAAGTACTAGGGTTCAGTATTGAAAAAAAATATTCATATATAATACAACAAGTGATAATATTTTGCCGGAAATATTCGGTGATTGTTACGACAGCTTGTTGCCTAGTAATTTCGTGAATGACATTGTTATCAAAACTACGAGCCGTAGGCGAGTAGTTTTGGATCAATGTCATGAGCGAAATTAGAGCAGCAAGCTGGAGTATGTCAATCGACGAATATTTCCAGGAAAAATAGTATCACGAGTTGATTTCGTATTACTATTTCATGATTGAATGAGACAATATATTATATAAGAAATAGGAAATATAATTTGAGTATATTCCAACTCGAACTGCGAAGAAGAACATAATGAGAGTAATGAAATACAGAATTTACTTTTTTAGAAATTAACTACCTACTTATAGTTATTCACAAAGTGGAATGTACAATTTTGATAAACAGAATTTTTTTTATTATCTTGGAGTTGGTTGCTCTAAAAAGAGTGTATACAATTACTATCCAATTCAAACAAAATAAATTGAATTTATGTGACATGGAATAATTAAAAAAAAAAGATATCGTCGCCGAGGGCTCGAACCATCGACCTTCGTATCCTCGCGCAACAACCCTAACAGTTGCGCTACAACAGCTAGTAATTTTATCAGCAGTCACAATAACTTGAGTAATTGAAGAAGATTACTTCAAAAAGGAATTTGAATTCTATTATTGTGTCAGACCGTCAGACGATCAACAAATATGCAAACTTTTTAAATTACACATGAAAAGTCCAGCCAGAATAAAATTTTTCCGCCTTTCGGACAAAATGTCTCACTAACGCGAATTATAAGTAAATAAAATATAGTAGGAACTTAGGTTATTGTCTCAGATTTGAATCCAAAGCAATCTTGACCAGACACGATGTCAAAATTGTATCGCTGATAAACGAGGTTTGTTGGTCACGTGTGGGTCAATTCGGCTTCTGTTTTGGTAGAGCAAGTTCGATAAAATTCAATAAACAGAAAATATCGCTAGAATACAGAAGAAACCGTGAAAATGGTCGATTCTGATTGGTTCCCGAGATCAAGAGTGGAATAGTCTCAGATAATTTATGAACAAGAAATATTTCAAACACTGAGAAAGCTCGACTTCTACTATCGAATGGCACTAATAAAAAACATATAGGGATCAAAATAAAATTTGAGGGTAGACCCATTTTTCCACCCTAGAACTTTACTGTAGCAAATCTGACGTCACCTCTGTTGAAATTTTTATGCGGTAGGCACAATCACGCGGAGTTCAGTTTGTCATACATCCAAAAACTAGGTTTTAGATTTGCGTTTTTGTAGTTGTGCTTACTGCGTTATAAGGTATGCCATTTTTGTCATACTGGGTGTTCTTGGAGTGAATAAATCCATTTGAATCAACTCCGGGCTTATTTCAAGGCCAGTTAACGCGACCACAGGGAAGAGTTTCATTGCACCCTTGAAGGTCTTTACAAAAATGAGGAAATCAAGGTGAGTTGATATATATGTGAAAAAATATATTTTTTGTACAAACGTCATAAAATGACAAGGTTCGCGCATTGATAACAAATTGCGAAGTGACACTTTTTTTCAGTTTCCTACGTTACAATGATACCTTGCACAAAACAATGCGCGAAGTAAAACAGTGCGCGAAGTACCTACTTCGCGCACGACGATACGATACTTTCTGACGTTTGTAGAAAAAATGTTGTTTGCAGCTCGACCGCGAAATACTTTGTTCATCTCGACTATTTTTTTAACGAGGCGTAGCCGAGTTAAAAAAATCAGATCTCGATCACCAAAGTAGCATTTCGCGCTCTAGATACAAAAATAACTATTTTCTAAAACGTAAAAAAATGACAAGGCTCGCGCATTTATAACAATTTGCGAACTGACACTTTTTTCAGTTTACTACGTTACCATGACGCCGTGTGCGAATCAGTGCGCAAAGTGCATACTTCCTATGTATGTAAACTATTTTCTGTCGAGAGACTTGTATCTAAATTATACTATACTGTTTTACTAAGCCATGCCCTTATTCTTATAATATTTTGTGAAACTATAACAATAATTACCTTGGGAAGGTGTACTAGATAATTTCGTTGTTTTAATTAACTGTGTTTATGTTCTACTTTATCTATCCACTACAGTATGCAAACTGCACTTCTCCAAGACATTAACGCACCACCAAAAAGTATCCAGAAGTTTAGGAAACATTTTCGTCTAAAGTAATGGGCGTGTACACCTTAGTAGAACTTTCAACTCAAACCATGTTTATAATGATCCTTTTATACATAAATAACGATTGACGACATAATTATATATAAAAATTAACTGGAATATTTTATTTTTGGACATAAATAATAGTACCTTCTGAAAACGGACCCTATTTATGACGTAGAAACCTCATCTCGCCTGGAACCAATGAGCGTGACCCATAGAGTGACCCATGTGTGACACTTATCACTGTTGCCATATCATCTAAACAAAATATCCGAGAGATCGAAATCGATATTGAAATATCTTTTGAGATATCAACTACCACTACTGCAGAAAAATATATTCAACTTGTCGATGGTAGGTTTGAATCATTAGAATATAAACAATCTCTAAACAACGAAATGTCTCAATCTCAAAACCATTTGCACCACGACAATTTCACAATAATCCAATATATTTCATGAACGCAGCAACATTGCTTTGTTGACCCGTTTCACATGGAGCTGCATTTGCATCGAGTCTCGAATTCCGATTCCGAAGTTATTTATGTCGTCTAAAATGAGAAGAGAAGACACGTAATGAAATTAACCTCCAAATCTCGCTTTATATCATATTAATACATAATATTATTGATATATTGAATATAAACATGAACGTTGAATCAGGATTTGTAAAAGGCTCATCAGATAATCTACCGAAAATTGATTTGGAAATGGTTAATTATTTTTATGTCTCTAACATACTAGAAAATCTCCACAGTTCCTCAGTGCTGAAATGAGGAATAGAAAATCTGAAAGGTAAGTTCCACAATATTCATTCAATTTTCATTGCTTGTACCTATTATAGTTGCATTGGAAAATTGTTCACGTGAAAGGATATTTAACATCAGAATACCCATCATATGGAGATTCCGAGGGAGAATCCTCATTAAATCAGTCACTGATCGATATGTTTACCTGTTTACCTATGCAACAATATGATCAATTGGTATGAAACAATGTTATTCTCAAGACTAGATACTGCTTGCATCTCCCCCTGAATGTTCTTCTAGGAGATGGATTATTCATTCTTCAAGCAATTACCCTATGAATTTCTGCAAAGCAAAACTACTACTATAATATTGTGTTTACCCAGTGAGGGGCGAGATTTGTTCTCAAAATTACCAGCTAAATGATGTTTTTTTAATTGCAATTAGGCACAGAACATTTCTCAATCAAACTTTTGTCGAAATATTTCAATGTAATATTCGAAAGTTGCAGAAACTTAATATAGGTTAGAATTGATCTTCTTCTTGTTCTTATCATCTATGTCCCAAAAATCAACTTGCCGATTCACCAATCTTGGTGCTTTGTGAGAAATCATGTATCATTCATCTCTGTCTGGAATAGTCTTGTTTCAGTATTAGGGTTTTGACGTCACATCATCGCCTCGTTTTCAGAGGTCCGAAAAATCGGGGATTTCAATAATTTTTTATAAAACGTAGGGAGCTCACAGCAAGAAACGGTTTGCGGTGGTGAGCTAGTTTGGGTGACTTCTATCGAATTATGAAATAAAAATTTTTTGTGATATAGGCCCATTGTCCGATTTGGAAATTTTTTTCAAGAATTTTGTAATACCCTGTAGAGTGGAATGGTGACACTCTTGAGTTAGTATTGGAATCACACTTCAGCCTCATCTTTTTTCAACATTTCTTTTTTGGATACACTCCATTATCTTTCATACTACACGAGAAACGCCATTTTATAGCGCGTAACTTGATTTTATTGAAGATTTGTATCTAAATTATATAACGAAAAAACGAATCATAATGCGATGTCACAAGTTGAACGAAAGGTCAGTAGCGAGTATTTCTGCCGCGGACACGAAAAACTTCCTGGTAAAGACGCCCTATAACCAAAGAGACCTAATGTCATGTTGGTCCGGGTCTTCCAATATTTGAATCATCAGTCTCTGTCGTACGTTTTCCAAAGTATTCAAGTTATGATCCTCTTGTAATCATGTCCCAAGAATGTTTCAGAGATTCTCAATGGGATTTAAATCCGGGCTCCGAGCTGGCCATGCCATGGAAGAGATACAGACTTCCTCTAGATAATTTCTCACAACTCGGGCGACGTGATGCCTGGCATTATCTTGCATCGACAAAAATCCTTACACTATATAAATGGTTCTGAGATCACCAGTATGTACATTTCAGCTGTAAAGCTTTCATATATGAAAAAAAGTTACATGCGACCAGTCCTAGAAATCAATTCCCAGACCATAGCCTGCAGCCTGCTACTTTTCTGCTTATAACGGCAATTGAATTAAATTAAATCATGTTATGCTATAAAATTGTGTTTCTGAAGAAATAGGAAAGATAATGGAGTGAATCCTAAAAAGGAATTTCGAAAAAAGGTAAGGCTAAAGTGTACTTCCAATTTCAACCTGATAACGTAACTGTTGCACTCCACAGGAAATTACAAATTTAATGGAAAACACGCTTCAATTGCTACACCCTGTATCCATAAAAAGAGGTTCTTATGAGAATTCAGTTTGCACACCAATGTTCAGAAATAAATAACCTGTCATTCAAAACAAAAAACTTCCAAATCGGACAAGTAATTTTGACGAAAACGTTTCCTGAACTGTTGGCTACTTTTTTTTCTTGGAGAAGTGTATATGAGATTTTTGTATTCAACCTTTATGGTCCTTAATGGAGCAGACATCCAAGAAATCATTTATTTCTGAATGCTAAACAATAATTTTGGCCTTTTAAGCCAGTTAAACATACACAGGCATATTACTACTTTAGAACCATATATTTTGACGTTAGTAAACTGTAAAGTACGATCCAGAAAGTAAAGATAATGACATTCATAAAGGAAATGAATTTCCCAAGTCCGGCTCTGGATTCTTTTCCATAGGGTAATTTCAGGCGATACCATCAAGACGTTTCTAAACTATCGTTCTTCAAAATTTCGCCCCGAATTCAAATAATGCCCTGTATTTTTGTTACAAATAGGCAAAACATATTTTTCCACATATACAGGGTGGTGGTGGTGGGGTAGGGGGGTCCAAAATATGGCAATTTAACGCAACTGACCTCTATATAAGTTGCTTCCCTAAGGAATTATAGGCTTTGAAAGTGAAGTTATAAATTTTGAAAAAAATCAATATCTCCGTTATTCTTGAACTTAAAGCAACCAAATTTGGTACACTTTGTGGATGTATTTAGGGCGTTACTTGACAGTAACTAGAGTTTAATTGAAATTTCTAAAGGGGGTATACCGGGTGGCGCACCATTAATATTCAACAGAATTTTGTTAACCCTTGATGGATTTTAAAAATCTTTGCTTTGTTTTGTGGGCAATTCAATTATAAAACTCCTCACTCTAGTAATTTTTCGAAAAACCTCATCATTTTCATCAAAAACTCGAATAACTGGAAACGCTCGCTCTAGGTGTTATTTAAAATCATTGAAAATTCAAAAGTTGACTATGAAAATAAATGTCAAACAAGAAAGTAGGTCATTCAATGTGATCAGTAGAAATTGGCTGGCAAATTATTATTTAGATACGTAAGAAAATACGTGAAGTAAGTACAGCTACTGAAATGTGAAAAACTGGGATTAACAACTAATCAAAATAATCACAAAAAACTTGAACAACAACCGGAACAAACAATTGTTTATCGATAAATTAAAGAAATTGTTCAATGTGAATCACCCTGTATATCAACTCACCTTGACTTTCTCTATCCGCCATTAGGCTGCTAGTTAGTCATTACTCACCCTGTGTAAGGAATCGCTATACTAACACCACAACATTATAAAATCGATTTGAAGTGTCAACACATTGAAACATTCCTCAGGTAAGAAAAAGGAGCGACCGAGGCGAGTCACCAAGGACAAACACCTGTTGCTGTCGTTCGTCTACTTCGATCAGACGCACTGCGGCTACATCTTCGACAAGGACATCGAGGAGCTGCTGTTCACGTTGGGGTTGAAGCTGTCCAGAGCTCAGGTGAGTACTTGTCGCTTTCATCTCGCCGATTGAGATCGCTCGGTTGGAATATAAATACTGTCGCAACTCAGATAGTTCTAGTAGGTTATAGGGCATTATTGAGAAGAAACTGCGCGCCTTCACCACGTGTCGCAACTCAGATGTTGACCCTCCTATAGGTCGTGACTTAGTTACTCGCTTGGCTTTTTGACGAGATGTTTTGATAATTTCATCACCCAACCATATTCATCTCCAAATAAAGAGAATTGTTTTTCAAAAGTACAACAAGCAATTTATTCAATCATGAAAACATAAAAATGTGCCAAAAGGGCGGAACAGCAAAGAACGAACATGAAACGAGCAAATAACAGAAACTAGATGATGGTTCTTGTACTTACATCATGTCATGGGCAGCAGCACCAAAGTCGAGGAGATGTCACACCCCCAAAGTGGCATAATGCCACTTTGTAAGTCAGCAATCAATGAATGAGTGTTATGTACTGATTTTAATATAATAATTCTGAGTGACGAATCGAATAACGATTGAACTAATAATGACCATCCTTATCGATTCGGGATCTATTTATATTTGAAATCGATGCTGGATTCGCAATTTTCCGCAATGGTAATGGTCGTTACCTTACGATACTACTTACTAGTACTCACCTAGGTATTATCGCGGGGTAAGCGGTTTATTTGCAAATTATAAAGGAAATGACGTCTATGAACTCTGCTGACCTGATCGAAACTACAATGTACTGAATGTTTTAATTTGGAAAAGTTAATTGATGATGAAAGATCTTGAAATGAACGAGATTCATAGGCATTTGTACTTATTGACAAGAGTAAGGCTGATGAAGATCGATAATGTTTGAATACCGATTCTTAACATACAGTTGACCACAATATTCTCCTGAAAAATCTTAATGCAATGGGCATCAGAGGTATAGGAAACAATCTCTTGAAAACATATCTAGAAAAAAGAACTATCAGTACTAAAATCAATAATTGTGAATCTAAAACCCTATATATAAACAAAGGAGTTCCCCAAGGATTGATGAAAAGTTAATATGGAACAAGCATATTGGCATAACTTGTTTCATCTTGATGCTGCTCATTCAACACTTGGTCAAAAAAAGTTCACTCTCAAAATTCAATAAATTACCTGATGATATCAAAAGTTGCACAAATATCACCCAATTCAAAATCAAAGTCAAGAAACATATCCTCTTGCAAAGAGAAAATCAAACCTGAGTGAATGATTTCTCATTGACTAATTTATTTCATCATGTCATAATGTACCCTTCATGAGCTTTTTGTTTTGTTATTACATTTTTTTTTCTGATTCTGTTGTTTATTTCAATAACTATAATTTAATTTGATAACGCATGAATTATCTCATACCAGATATGAATCTGTCTGATTATTCATGTTATTCCATTGTAAATGTTAATGATTATATTTATATTTATATGAGATGAAATGTAATGTTTATAGCAAAGAATGAAATAAATAAATAAACATCAATTTGGAAGCCATATCTAGAACCACACTAACGTGGATCAAATTTTGTAACAGGGTGATTCAAAATTCGATTTAAATATTTTAAGGAGATACTGTTGGAATCAAAGTAAGACTTTTTTTATATACATATGTCCTGAATGGGCGAGTGGACTGATAATGAATTATTGGAATTCAATTACTCCACTGTGTGGTTAGAAACCTAAATTAATTTTTTCAACACTTCTCACGCTTTTTATGTAAATAATGAGTCTATGCGTTGTTGGAAATTGTTGAATTTCAGAGGTCATTTCAAACGAACCTTCATGGCCGAATACGTCGAATAAATGATGACGTCAGTTTTATATATTCTTCCATTTCCAGCCATCAAGCAAGGTTGTCAAGTCACCAATTATTATCAAGTTATCAAAAAGATGTTTGAGTCCTGTCGTTGAACTAAACATAATTGAAGGAACCCATGATGTTATAGCTCATTCTTGACTTTTTCGAGCAACCAACATGTCCAAATATTTCTTATTCTCCATAATAACACATCATGTGAATGTTGGGTACTTGGCAACATTGTGCTGAATGCTGAGAACTGACAAGACCACGTCCACAAGTCGTGCGCCGTGGTTGTCACATTCACCGATTCAAATGTCCTCTAGTGTATATTTATAAAAATATTTATTCCACAAATGGGCTTATATCACAAAAAAAATTATTTCATAATTCGATAGAACTCACCCAAACTAGCTCACCACCGCAAACCGTTTCTTGCTGTGAGCTCCCTACGTTTTATTAAAAATTATTGAAATCCCCGATTTTTCGGACATCTGAAAACGAGGCGACGATGTGACGTCAAAACCCTAATACTAAAGCAAGACTATTCCAGAAAGAGATGAATGATACATGATTTCTGACAGAGTGAATTAGCGCGAGATCACAGTTGAAAGAATTAATATATCAGTTGCTTCAGTCTCCGTCGGGCGTTTGGTATTTTCTTTTAACTATGGCGAGATGAGGTTTCTACGTCATAAGAGGGTCCGTTATTAAAAGGTACTATTATTTATGTCCAAAAATGAAACATTCCAATTAATTTTTCGATCGAATTGTGTCGTCAATCATTATTTATGTATAAAAGGATTATTATAAACATGGTTTGAGTTGAAAGTTCTACTGAGGTGTACACGCCCATTTATTATAAGCAATAGGCCACAAATAATTAGGGAATATTCTGGGACAATTGTATGTGTATTGCTAATTAGGTTATTACCAATACTCTATTGAGAATTTATGTATTATCGAATAACCAATATTTCTAAAATTCCCATTCATATTTTAACACATGGCAACAGTGCAATGGTCTGCCCCTTCTTACGAAATCGTGGCGTCAGTTTTTACTGGCGGTAAATTTCTAGCCGTTTGTAAATTACCGTGGCATTATTGATGATATTAGCAACTAAAAATCGACCAAAAAATTCTTAAAAAATATGAAATTGAAAGGTATTCGAATGATGATTCTATCTAAGAAATACGAAAAAATAGTCTACTCGCCTATTGCGAATTCGAGACACAATTATGTGTAAAATTGGAATAGAAACTTTTCTTGGTACACTTTTTTAAAATTCTAACAAATAAGTTCGCTTATTTTCAGTGACTAATTTGAAAAAATGTAACCTTTGACATGTGGCGAAAGTCGCGTGACTCGCAAAAGATGCCTCTTCCGTATAGGGTGTGAGCACTTTCTATGCCATTACTCAATTAACACACAGGGTGAGTCAAAAATTAAGAATAAATCATGCTTCGAGTTATTCCACCACCATCAAGGAGGCTTTGAAAAAATTGTCACCTCTTAATTTTTTTTTAAGACAAATGCATTATTTACCAACAAATAAAAAAAAATTAAAATCGGCCTACTATTTTTTTTTTTAAGAAGATAGGTCAAATATCCAAGTGCGTCACTTTTTTGGAACTGAGTGTAGATTATTCTTCTCGGAAATTCACAGCATCCTAAAGTGGAAAATTATGTACCATACCTTCATCACACTCCATTTTGTAAGCTATATAGTCAATTTCTCAAAAATAATATGTATAACCTCAAACGCTCAAATCATCAAACTTCGACGTTTTCCGACCCCTACACTGGTTTTGCTGGTTCAAACACGGTTCGAACCGTTCATTTAGAAATTTTTGAACTGGAATGAAGCGTATTACATGGTGACGTCATAACTTGCACAAGAAAATGCTTAATTTCAAATGGTTTTGAACACGGTTCAACAAGAAAAAATAACTTAAAGTTTCATCACGTTCAGTTTTGTCATGTCAAGAAAATATTGGTAATAAATTAAAATTTGAAATTTCGAACTTCTAATGAAACCCGTATAGAATCTCTGTGAAATTGACAAATCAAGAGCCTCGTTAAAAGCAGGAAAGCCCAGATACAAATATGTAATCAACGCATGTGGAAATACTTCTGAAGAAACTTATATTTCATAAGTTTCCAAGAAATTTTCACAAAAGACCCTCGTTAAAAGCAGAAAAACTCGGATACAAATATGTGATCAACGCATGTGGAAACACTTTTGGAGAAAACAAAAACTTTTATTTCATAAGAACGGAATGGATAAGAAAAATTGGATGATCAGGCAAGGGTTTGAATGGGATCATTTCGTATGAACAATGAAAAAAAAGCAGTAGGTATTAATTCTGGTCTAGGAAAGCCTAGACAGTTGAAAACTGTGAAGGGTTCAAAAAATTATTAACATGGAGAACAAATTCTGGAATCTCGAGATTCTTATCAGCCAGGTATACATATACTGGTGCTTTATTTTTCATTTCCACGTCATAATTATCCTGTTTCCAGATAATCGAATTGCAAAAGACGAAACGAAAGTATGAATGATAATACATCTCTTTCCAAAGACCCGTTCATCCAACGAACAGCGAGGCTCTGGAACACATTGCCAAGGGAGGTGTTCCCCGAGGGATATAACCTCCAGAAATTCAAGAAGAACGCCAATTCCTACCTTATTTCCCTTGGTTCTCACGATGTTTTCCAAACATTACAGGATATCCTTTTTCGTGGGAACCAGAACATAAAAAAAATCAATACTTTCAAATTTATATAAAATATTTATTTATTTATTTATTTTATTTATTCACTTACTTAGTTCACAGAATAAATCCAATTAAGAACTAAGAATACAGTAATATAAGTTAACAAGAATAATGATTTACAACTATTGTCTAATACAAAAAAAGAAAGATCTAATCTGCTGGATGGTTGTATGAAAAATATAAAAAGCTGTGCAATGATCAATATAATTTTTACAGATCCTTTGTACTGAAGAGTTTCTACATATGTTTGTGCGTGGAGTTGGCAAGTAAAAGGTTCGATTCACTCGGGACGCCATTCTTGGAACGTGAAACTGAATTCTTTGCGTCAAATAATGGAAGTCACATGAGTTGTTGATTGTTTTGAAAAGTATTACATTTGAATGGTACTCTCTTCGAGTTTG